GCTTGAAAAGTGCTGAATTTTGGGTTCAAAAGAGGAAGAATTTGAGTATATAAATTGCAAGTTTTTGGGGCTCAAAACACAATCCTTTTTTTTGTGAGCTTTGAAGTGTAAAATTGCACATTTTGAGAGCTAAAAAATCTGCAGCTTTACAACAGCTTTAGTGCAGATTTTTTTTGTGCAAAAAATGTGTATTTTTGAAACAAAAAAAAAAGCTATGTTATGAGAGTTTTATGATGAGCGAATTTGGGTTCAAAATGATGTATTTCTAGTTTAAAAAAGGGGTGCATATTTTAGAGTTAAGAAAAAAAACATCACCACTTTAAAGGATAGCAACTTAGGTATAAAAAATGTAAATTTTCTGAGGGAAAGAACCCTCTGTTATAAAAAATTAAAAATCCAGATTTCGGGATCGGAGTTATGCGATTTCAAATTTTAATATTTCGGTAAGAAGTGTAATCTTTCAAGAACTTGAAAGTGCAGCTTTTGAGTGTTACAAATTTCTATTTAGTCTTAAAATTGTTGAACCTTTTGTTGCTTGGCTTAAAATTTTATTTTTTCGCCTCGAGTCACTGGCCACAAGATTTTAAAAGAAAGAAAGGACTTGAAATAATTGTTCTTACATTTTTTTTAAATTTATTTTCTCGAAGTTTAATTTTTTATTTATTTTTGTTATTCTACACACCATTATTAAATCTTTTTCTAAACTCTTATTTATGTAAATGCCGCCAACTTTGTATATATTTACTTCCCTCGTATCAGTCAGTTTTTAACCTCACAAATAGGTACTTAGGGCTCGTTTGGTGTGAGGGATTAGAAATAATAGTGATGGGATAAAAAAAAAATTATGTTGTTTGGTTGGCAAGTCCGGGATAACTTATCCCGGGATTAATAATTAGTACCGGGATAAGTTATCCCTCCCCATGGGTGGTATAGTAATCCCGGGATAACTTATCCCGAGATAAAATAGGTAAATGACAAATATGTCCCTTTAAATCCTTTTTATACATCATTTTTTACATTTATGTATATTTACATTTTTTTTAATACCATGTATAATAATATTTACTACTCCTTATTTTTATGATAATTATACATATTTTTCTATTAAAAAATTATACTATATAAATATAATTTTTATTTATGAATTTATTTGACTAATTCTTATGTTTATTTTATTTTGATTTCTCATAAATTTTCTTCTCTTTAATAAACTTAAGAGGGAAGTTCTATTTTTAAGCTAAATAAGAAAAAAATTATATTTTTAAATACACATGGTACTTATCATGGGAATACATAAACAAAAATATTTAAGTTAAATAAAATAAAAGTTTTATTTTAAAAAATGAATAACTAAAGCTCACAAAGAAATATTTAAAAAGTTTAAATAAAGTGAAGGGTAATTTTGTAAACAAACAACTTGTTCTTAAAATTTATCAATATATATTATTGTGAATATAACAAACCAAACACTCAATAAGAAATAATCTCAGGACAACTTATCTCATCATAACTAATCCCAACATAACTTATCCCAACATAACTTATCCCATCATAACTCATATTCAAACCAAACGACCCCTTAATACATAGTTTCCTAGTAGTTCCTTAAAATTATGTGACGATTTCTAGACCCTTTTAAAACTTAAGGTAGAAGAACAATGGTTTGGGATGAGGCCCAATAGTTGGGATCACTTTATACATCACCCCTTTTCGAAAATATATTTACCATTATCACTTTTTTTAAAAATCAAATATTACTAAAACATTTTAATTTCTTAACATATTATTTCAAGATTTTATATATGCTTACAGGTTCAAAATACAAGGTACATACATATATATATGTCATACGCAAAAAGGTACAAATCTTATATTTTTTTTAGTTTTTCTCTATATGTAACTTATTATTTTGTTACACTCCATGTTATTCTATACGTAACTTATTATTTTGTTACACTTCTTGTTATTTTTCTCATATCTATTATCTCTTTTACGAAATTACTTATTTATTTTTATAACTTATAAATTCCTACACTTTCATATACATATTATTTTACTACATATAATCTATTGTCAATTTTTTCCCAACATGTAAATAAATAATAAATATTCATATGTTTTAAACAACCTATGTGTACCTACCATACTTAAAGATTACAAACTTTATATAATACTTTACATAATATTTTAACATTTAGTATCATTATTATTTATTGTATTTATTTATATTTAGAAAACCCCATTTTATGTATTTTCATTCAAAAACATATTTATACACATACTACTACATATTTATACTCGGTTACTATCTCATTTTTATTTTTCTTTACATCTTAATTTTATATACAGATAAAATGACAATTTTTTCATATCCTTTAAACTCAACATTTATTTTCGATACATTTATATAAGACACAACTATATTTTTTTTAACATATAAAATTGTCATACTATTTTTAGTACATTTATTTATTTATTTTTACCGTATGATAAACATACTACTATTAATTTTATTTAATAGACGTATATATGTCGTACCTTGTATTTTACATTTTTTAAAAAACTAACGATATTTACTTACCATTGATTTTAAAGCAAATAAATAAACACGTTTTTTCCTAATTATATTTTCCTAAATTGAGTTTAAGGACTATCTTCGGATAGGCTCTGAGGGATGCCTAATACCTTCCCCTCGAGTAACCAAAATCCTCACTCAGAATCTCACTGGTTTCGCAAATCAAAACAGAGTTTACATTCACATATTTAAATGGATTTCCTAATATTTTCCTTAAAATTTAGCTGGCGACTCTAAAACAAAAAACATTTTTTTCAAAATCAGAGTGTCAGTCATATTATGTTGTGAACTGTTTCGGTTGGTTCGAAATGGGGTGCGATAGCCACCACAAACCAGGATTCCTTTTTTAATTTATATATTTACAAAACTAGCCTTCCCCTTTCATGAAAAGTTGTGACTTTAATGAAAAATTGTGACTTTTATGAAAAGTTGTGACTTATATGAAAAGTTGCGACTTTTATGAAAAGTTGTAACTTCTATGAAGAGTTGCGACTTTTATGAAAAGTTATGTCTACTTCAAAAAATGGTATAAGTTCGATGGGGGTAATTATGTATTTTCTCCGACTTTAATGAAAAGTTGTAACTTTTATGAAAAGTTGCAACTTATATGAAAAGTTGTGACTTTTATGAAAACACACACACACACACATATATATATATATAAGAGAACCCTAGGCCCGCCTACGTGGCGCCACCACAAATCAGGATTCCTTTTTTAATTTATATATTTACAAAACTAGCCTTCCCCTTTCATAAAAAGTTGTGACTTTAATGAAAAAATGTGACTTTTATGAAAAGTTGTGACTTATATGAAAAGTTGCGACTTTTATGAAAAGTTGCGACTTTTATGAAAAGTTGTAACTTCTATGAAGTGTTGCGACTTTTATGAAAAGTTATGTCTTTTATGAAAGGTTATGACCTTTCCGAAGGGTTGTAACTTTTTCGAAGAGTCATGACCTTTCTAATAAGGCATAATAAACATTTGTTCACACTACCCTTTGTTGTCTAGCTATAAATAGAGGGATTTCCTCTCATTTTAAAACAACAAAAAATCTGAACTTCTTCTTCTTCTTCTATACAATTAAATATTCATGTACAATTTTTTTCCTTTCTATTTCATCCTATTGTTACAGATCCTGGAATATTTTTTTTAGAGTCATTAATTTATGCTTATGTTATTAATTGATGTTTTTGAGTACATGTTTTAAACTTTGTTGTTTATGTTCTGCAAATTATTGTTTAAGTATTTGTTAGCACAAATTAAACAACACACGTTAATTGAGTATTCACGCAAGTTTTCTCTACTGAAAATTGTTGAAGGTACAGTAAAAAAATTCCTTAAAGATCTATACTATTATCTCTTGAAGACAAAATTCAAATTTGGTATGCCATTGTAAGGACAGAAAGACCTTAAAAACTTTATCGCACCTTGATGTGCGAAGTGAACCAGGAAAAGAAGACAAGAATTAATAAACTATTGACATGGGTTCAAGGATGTGTCGGATGACCTATAGAGGAATATGACTAGACTGGAGCCTCTTTTAATCCCAAAGACATAGATAACTACACAATACATTAATTGCTCATATTCAATATGAGTATGAACAGATTCTCATGTTTACTACAAGTTGTAAAATTTTTCTTGAAGTAATAGATGTGTTTCTCGACACTGTGATTGGAATAGAGGTGTAGTTTCAAATTGATCTTCATCACTCTGGTATGTTGATTTTAAAAAAACACTCAAACAAACTGAATAATTTGTGTAATCTTTTTCCCTTTCAAATATATATAATAAGTTGAATTGTTGTCCAATATGATACATTCTCCCTTTAATTTTCATTTTAATAATTACTTGTGTATACTATTTAAATGAGGAACTTTAAAATGATATATGTAAAACAAAAGGTAGAGCTGAACTTTCTACACGTTAGAATTAGAATATTTGTTCATTTTTTCATCATTTTATAATTTATTTATCCCTTCACCAACGATTTTTTATTTATTAAAAAAATTAATATCTCCGGTATGGTTGATGTTCATTTGAATACCCCCAAAAAATATCAAGTAATAACACTTCCTGGGCAAAAAGATAAATTATAAAATCAAATTACAGATGATTGATTGAATGATAAATGATAAAATATTTTAATTATCATCTTCCTTTACATTATTAATGTTTGTTATATGTAATCTTGTATGTAAGATTATATAGTGTTTTAGTTTTAATGATTCATATGTTTTAAGTATTTTTATAAATTCAGTGATATTAAATTTTCACGCAAAGCGCGGGTGATTTTACTAGTTGTATATATATATAAATAGATAGATAGATTTAACCCATTTTTTTTTTTAAAGAAAAAATTTAAATGATGATTGCCAAACAGCCCAAATCATAAACACATGTCACTCCTTAAACTAAACTTTTAACTTTACAATTTGACCAAAAATAAACCAAACGAAAGGGACGCAGTTTCATGTCAGTGTCAGTAGTGGAATGAAATGAGAGTAGGAGGAATCGAACGTCAACCCTATAAGTAGTGCACAAAAAAATACTCTCTCGCATTCGTCCTCTTCAAATTGCTAGTGATAATGGGGTGTTGCAGTAGCAAAGCCGCAGATACTAAAGCTACCCGCATGGCGCGATGGCGTTCAACTGGCATCGTTGCTTTACGCGACTCCAAATTGAAGGCATTTTTTCTCTCCCTATTACCTCACTGAATAAATTGTATTTAATATCCGCCCGGCTAGGGTTAATGGATTTATATAGTCAATCGCAACTAATTTTGGAATTGATTGTGGTGTTTTGCTTATATGCCTTGTTTTCTTGTGGTATTTCAGATTCTGGTGCTGTTTCTTTTGCCAATTCCCCCCTTTTTTTTTTCTATGTTTTGTTTTAGGATTAGTAAATTTCAGGTAACATCACTATTTATGGGTCGATATGTGTTTTACCTTCTTGTGATGTATAGACGAGGTCTCTGAATATTTTCTGGAATGCAGGTTAAGAGTAAGCTGGATATCTCCTTGGATGTTATCCTTCATGAAACTTTGTAGTAGATTTCCTAAGAGCACAAAGTTTGTGTGCCAGGTTAAGTTCACTATTTAGACTTAGGAGAATTTGATTCATGTTTCTCCTTCTAGAATGTTCTCTGTTTGGCACCCAAAGTGTGGCCTAGTGGTCAATGAAGTGGGTTGAGCACCCTGAGGCAGAGGCGTATCTAGGATATCGGCAAGATGGGTGCACGATTACAAAAAATGCATCTCAAGTATAAATTTGATTGGTTTGACTTTTAGGTTCTTAATATGAACCACTAAATTTTAAAAAAATTATAGGTTCAACCAGTGTTTTCAAAAACGTTTTTGGGGTGAGTCTCGGGGAGGGGCATACCAAAAACGCTCCGGGGCGTAAATTAAAGAGGTAGATCCATAAGGTGTAAGTCCTAAAATTTGAGGTGTAAGCCCCAAGCATAAAAACGCAAGTCCTGGGCGTAAAAACGTACGTTCGGGCATATTTAGTTAAATTTTGAATTATTTTTGCTTTAAATCATATTTTTATTATTGGTGTAATGATATTTCTCAAATAGTAATTATAATACTTTTTTTCTTCATTATTGATTATTAATACTTATCTCAAATAAAAATCATAAATCATTGAAAGGTTTACTTTTGCTTATTTTATTAGTAATAAAACTATAAAATTGAATATACATGGGACTATGCCCGGTAGATCCATGGGACTTACGCCTCGTGTCTCGGGGCTTACGCTTCGCCCTGTACTATATAAAACGCCTCGCCCTGTACTATATAAAATGCCTCGCCTCACGCCCCCGCCTTTTAAAACACTGGGTTCAACATATATAATACTACTGTTTTTTAATTTTACTACGCATATTTGATTTAATTATAATAAAATTTTACAGTGCTAAATTTTTTAGGAATTTTCAATGTAACACACTTGAAAATTTTGAAAGATTAAAGGAAAAAACAAAAGAAAATTCAGTTGAAACGCCAAAAATGTTACCAATAACCACTTGTAGAGGTGTTACTAAAAAAGACAAGATAGATATATGATTAAATTTCTATCCTCACTTAGAGAGGTGCACCCAATCATCATCATATTAATATATCATCATATTAATATATAATACTTTGAACGTGGGTTCACACATCTATATTTAAATATTTTTTTAAAAATATAACACTACTATATATGATCTAGAGAGGGGAGCATGGGTTCACGTGAACCCACGGCACCCTCTCTCGATACGCCCCTGCCCTGAGGTCTCAGGTTTGAATTCCATCATAGACAAAACATCGGGTGATTTCTTCCCATCTGGTTTAGCCTTGGTGGACAGAGTTACCGACTGATTTAGGTATCCACTGGAATTAGTCAAGGTGAGTGCAAGCTCGCCCCAACACTATGGTTATTAGAAAAAAAAGAATGTTCTCTGTTCTCTGAGGTAGCTGGAGGTATACAATGAAATAGTAGGAATAAAAGATGGACATGTAACCAAATACATTAACGGGGAACTAGTGGCATGCTATTAATTAAGTAATCTCCATCAGCATCACTACTGATTAAGTAATTCCTTTGAAAACATTTACATTTTCAGGAGTCAAAAGTGTTCCTTATTCAACTTTTTGCATTAACATTTCACCACAAAGATCACATGCTAGTTTTAAGTTTTAACATAAATTTCAAATTTGTTTTCAAAAACTAAATGATGTCCATGAGAATTGGTTTAATTTGACTGTTGGGGAGTAGATTGTGCCTCACAAATCAGAGAGAGGGAGTTACTACATTAGTGGCATTGACACCAGTAGATAGTTTATTGTATTCCTGAGATGACTATGAGCAATTCTCACGGGAGTGGATCTTTACCTTCCTAAACTGCTGAGGGTCCACAATGCAATGATGAAATATGTTTGCTTAATCGCGAGGTGTCATTGTCTTGTGTGTGTGTGTTTATGTATAGGCACAGATATACAATCAGATGCATGCATGCATGCTTGTTACTTGCTAGTTTGCTGGTTTCAAATGAATAATGCTTACTGTGAAGAAATGTAAATATTGACAGATAAGGGACATACAGGTTAATCCTTTCTGTTAGTCTTATGATCTCCAGACTGTTTTTTCCATGACAGTCTTTTCCCGATGAAGTTATTTCCCTGGAGAGATCTGTACGCACCCTCGACTTGACGCACAATAAATTGGGTATTGCTCAAATTTCTCAAGCTTCTGATTCATATTTGTCTAGTCAGTTAGAGCACAAAAACAAATCACTATCAATTCCATGTTCTACTGACAATTAATTTAACCGTGTTACTTGGGGAAATTGTTGTCTCCGCTTATATGTCTGATCTTATTTACCTGAAGCTTTTATCGTTTCTGAAGCTAATCTCTCAGTTTCCCCATTGTGGCAGTTCAAATTCCCATGGAGATCAGCAAGCTAATTAACTTGCAGCGTCTAGTAAGTACTACTGACTACATATTTGGTACCTACCTTGTGTCTGAGCAGTCTCATTTTTCTGTTTAGAAAACCTTATTATATTTTCAGTGTCCACATCTCATAACGAAAGCTAGGTCGGGTTTTCAGTCATATTCCTGTAGCCAGAAGTCATTTAGGAGAAAGGTACATGGTATTTGCAGAATTGGTACAACTAAAATGTAATGAGTGTCTGTCATTGTTGTGGAAGAGAAATTGAACAAGGAAAAATTAGCTTCTTTTGGAGGACATGATGTTGTCAATGTGATAAGATAAGAGAAGCGAAGATAATTAATAGATAACTTGATGATAATGGAACACAACACACTTATCTAGAGGTGTGAGATACAATTCACATCTTATATTTAACCAATGAGGCTAAAGTAACATTAACACTTAACAACAACATACCCTTTTCTAGCTACGTCATCTCCTTGGTAAAGATAAAGTTTTCCCTCCCCCCTCCCCGCGCTCTTTTTCGGTGTAACTCTACCCCTTTTAACTTCTATTATAGTCAACCTCTTACTGACGCATCCACACATCTCCTCTTCACATGGCCGAACCATCTCAACCTCGCTTTACTCATTTTGTCCTCCACGGAGGCAACTCCCACCTTGCCTCACATAACTTCGTTTCTAATCATATATCTCCTAGTATGTATACACATCCATCTACGCATCCTCATTTCCCCGACTCGACTAGCCGATGCTCTGCCCCATAAAACAAAGTTGGGTGAACCACCACTGTGTAGAACTTACATTTAACCTTGTGGACACATTCTTATCACACAGTATTGCGGATGCAAGCCACCATTTTAGCCACCTCACTCAAATGGGGTGTGCGACATCCTTATCAAATTTTTTGTCTCCTTGAATTATGGACCCAAGATACTTTAAACTTTCTCTCTTGGATATGACTTGTACTCGTTCTTCACTTCCACCTCATCTGCCTCATGTGTTATGTTACTAAACTTGCACTCCAGGTATTAGGTTTTAGCCTGCTTAACCTGAAACCTTTAAACTCTAGGGCCTGTCTCCAAACTTCTAGCCTATTATTAACTTCACTGCGTATCTTGTCAATCAATACTATCTCGTCTTTGAATAATATACGCACGACACCATTCCATTGAATATGTCATGTAAATTTATCCTTCACTTAGGCAAATAGGTATGGGCTAAGGGCTGATCCCTGGTGCAACCCTATGATGGCCGAAAAATGTTCTAAATCACCTCCCACTGTTCTAACTCGGGTATTGGGTCTATCGTACATGTCCTTAATTGCCCTAATATAAGCCATAGGTACACCTCTAGACTCCAAACATTTCCAAAGGACCTCCCTAGGGACTTTGTTGTACAACTTTTCTTGGTTAATCAGTCTAACTTCCTATCTCTTTACTGCTATAGCGATCTCCTTACAGGATTAATGGCTTCTATAGTTGATCGCTCCGGCATGAATCCAAATTGGTTATCGGATATAGACACACCCTTCCTCATCCTTATCTCGACCACTCTCTCCCAAACTTCCATCGTATGGCTTAGTAGCTTTATACTCCCATAGTTGTTGCAATTCTGAATATCACCCTCGTTCTTGTACAATGGATATGTTGTACTCCACCTCTATTCTTTCGACATTTTAGCCTTCTTAGAAATGACATTAAACAACCTAGTCAATCGCTCAATACTTGCCTTGCCGGTATTCTTCCAAAAATTTACTTGGTCTCATCTGAATCAGTTGCCTTCCTCTCTGTATCTTACGAGTAGCTCCCTCAACCTTTGCGGTGTTAATGCACCTACAGTACGAAAAATCTCTTTGACTTTGAAAAGGCTCTAGCTCCCCCAACATGATATCCCTTTGCCCTTCTTCATTCAAGAGTTTATGGAGATATGTCTTCCATCTTCGTCTAATGTGCATCTCTTCGACCAATACTTTATCATTCTCGTTCTTTATGCTCTTCACTTGGTCTAAGACCTGTGCCCTCTTCTCTCTCGCCTTGGCGAGCTTATACAACTTTCTATTGCTTTTTTTGCACTCAAGCTCTTCATACAAGTGTTCAAAAGTTGCCATTTAGCTACCGTCACCGCTAGCTTTGCTTCCTTCTTCGCCATCTTATACCTCTCCTATTCCTCCTTTTGTTCTCCTTGTTATTCTTTCCATTAATATTTAGCCTAAGAACCTTCTTAATTTCCACTTTTCCTTGAACCTCTCCATTCCACCACCAATCCTCTTTGTGTCCACCTGGCCTTGAGACACCCAACACCTCTCTAGTTGCTATCCTGATGCAATCAGCTGTCTTAGACCACATATTGTCTATGTCCCCACTACTCCCACAAGATACCATAGCAGCCAACTTCACCCCAATCATCAAGGGTCTGGCTGTAGTTAAGCCTCCCCATCTAATCCTTGGTTGGTCACATGTGACCCTTGTCTCCTTCTTCTTCTTCTTCATCCTCTTGATAGCTAGATCCATAATCTTGAGCTGTTAGGTTGTAAGATTTTCACTTGGAATAACCTTGCAATCCTTAAACAAAACTCTATCGCACTTCCTAAGGAGCACATAGTCTATCTGAGTCTTAACCACCGCACTATGGCAGGTCTCCAAGTGCTCCTCTCTCTTCTGGAAGCACGAGTAAGCTTTGACCAACTCAAAAACTTTCACAAAGTCCAACAACATTAACACTTAACACTAACTCCAATATCCTAACAACAACAACTACGGCTCAGTCTCAAACAAATTGGGGTCACCTATATGAATCTTCACTGACCACATTTCCTCATATAAGCTCAACTAATGTCGTCATAAAAAAAGAAGGTGAAACATAAGTTATTGAATATATATAAGTAATAGTAATACCATTACTGATATTATTACTATTACTTCTATATATTATTAGTAGTAGTTGTATTACTATTACTTATTTATTTTTTAGTTTCAAAAATAAGAAATAGTAATACAACTACTACTTCTAATGAAATTTAGAAGTTTGGTTATTAGCAAAATAATAATAAAATGAATTAGAAGTATATTTCAACTAACATATAAATCTATGATAAGGTCCAAATGAAACTCCAATATGCTAACACACTTGCGTTTGACATTCTAACCCCTTAAAATTAAGATGGGGAAGGGAAATTGACTTGATTTTGCTTATCTAAAGGCATGGAAAGTAAATATTCACTTGAAGTCACATGGATAGTTTCACCAAAAACCTCTTGGAAAATCTAGCCGAGAGTCCTCGAAAAAGTACTAACCATTGGAGTCTCGCTAATATAATTTTATTTAAAGAATGGATGACATAGTTGTTTCTTGTTTATTTTTAAAAAAATAGGCATATTTCCACTTTGGTTCTGCAGTGTAAGGCCATTTGCTGGTTGGAGGAAGCTACAGATGACACCTAAGTTGCTCGAACTCTTTACTTTTGGTGCTGCACCCGTGTTGACATGACATGGGTGTGAGATCCGTGTCCAATTTGGTCAACCAATTTTGGGTACTTTGACCAAAATCGATGGGGAAAGTCTGGATAGTTTTAACGATTTCTATAATCAATACAAAAGCTAAGATGAAATTAAAGAAAATGGAATATCTTTTATATAGAAATTTGTCACTCCTTTTCCTTTAATCTCCTTCCACGATTCTCGTCAAGTTCTCCACAAAATATCTCATAATTTAGGTTTTATAACTCTATTTTTAGATATTTTAATTATTTTTAGGCGAATCCCCGCACCTGTATCCATACATGGATCCATATCCCCGAATCTTAAAAATTAGATCATGACAGATCCGACCTCTAGATCCGCACCCATATCGAACACCCGCACCAGAGTCCGAGCAACTTAGTATGACACTACTAAGATTGTGGGCCCGGTATCTTGTGAGAAGAATAAAAAGGGAAGCTAACTTGACGATAATGAAATATGCAACACACTTATTTATAGGTGTGAGATAAAATTCTCTGTGGGACTTACTTAACACTAACAATTTTCTTCTTGTTGGAGATCAGTCAAGGACATGAATTATGCATTACATTTTGAGGAGGCAGAAAGATATCTATCACATAGAATTTCAAGATAATACTAATTTGTTAAATTATGAGTTTTTTAACAAATGAACCCTTCAGGGTGGCCTAGTGGTTTGAGCTTGGGACTTCCATGTTGGAGGTCTCAAGTTCAAAACCCCTTGCCAGCGAAAGCAAGGGGTTTGCCTTCTGGGTCGAGCTCGTCGCACCAGGCTTGCCTAGTGTGGGTTACCTCTCCTATGTGGTTTGCGAGCTATTGCATAGGAGCGGGGGGTTTTATCCTGTGCGCACCCAAAGGGTAGTGGCTGTGGGTTTTCCTTGTCATAAAAAAAAAGTTTTTTAACAAATGAACCACTCATCAACCAACATTTTGTGCACCCATTTGTGGCCATCCGACACGCACCCATCGACATTATTGAAGAGTCCGAGCAACATAGTGGCCAAGTAGTCAATAAATTGGGTTGAGAACCATGATGCCTCATATTCAAATCCCAACAGAGACAAAAAGGCTAAGTGATTTCTTTCCACTTGTTCTAGCCTTGGTAGACACAGTTACATGATACCTGTTGCTGGTGGGAGGTGACAAATTTCTTGTGGAATTAGTTGAGGTGCACACAAGTTGACTTGGACACCACAGGTATCCAAAAAACCCAGCATTTGGGATTCAATCAATAAGATAGTTTACATTTTTAAATTTTTTTTTTTTGATAACCGTGGTACCCGACCTAGCTTGTGTGCACCTTGACTAATTCCACCAGTATGTCCACCAAGGCTAGGACAGATGAGAAGAAATCCCCTAGTATTTTTGTTAGATAGTTTACATCTATAATACTTTAACTTTTATGAGCTTATTCTCTTTAATCTATATATTGAACTTCAGGAATAATACAATCAATAACAAATTTCCAAAGGCACAGAAAGCCATCACAGGTTTAGATTTGTAAATAAACAAGAAACAAATAAATGCACATTAACTAATTAAAATTAATTTTTAGAAACTATGAAAAGTTCTACTGAAATCATCAACTTTTACTCTAAACTGAGGCAGAAGAAGAATTGATAGCATAAAGTAATAGAAGAACAAAAGTAAAGAGAAGAAAATAGAAAAACAAAGTCTCCACTCTCCAAGGGAAAGAAAAATAAAAAAAGGCCGGTAGGGCACAACCTGCGTAAATATATTGGGGAACAAATGTAAAAGAACAAGGAAAACAAGAAGGGAGGAAATGGGCTGTTGTGTGAAAGCTAATGCCTCCAAGGAGATTAGAACCCGCAATCATAGACATGTAGGACTTGAAAAGATCTTTCGCCAAGTGCACGAACCTCTACTTTGCATTCTGGTGCCTTTGTGTATCTATTTCTAAGATATCAAGATAGTTACCTATATAAACCAAGTTTCCATCGAAGTTTCCGGGTGCAGGTGTATCCTCAACCTACTATAAACGGGCTTGCTAAATCCAGATTGAGGGAAATTCATGATTAAATGTGTCTTTTAGTAAATATTAACTGTGTTACTCTGTTGGAAATGCAAGGTTAAAGCAGTAACAATTTGTCCAAAATATAATGGCAAACACAAAATTAAAGATATGCTGACAGCTTAACTTCAAAGGGAGATTTTAAGCTATCGTAGGATAAGTCTTAGGAGGAAATAGCCCTGTGAAGGAGCTGTAATGAAAGTCAATTTTTTTGTCAACGAGGTAATATGTGGTGGGTAAAAAGCCCAAGTGTCACACCCGAAATCCACGCTTATTGCTCAAAGTACTTCCATGCTTGTTCTAGTACGTTTAATCACTTTTGGACTTTAGTATCCTTGCTGGTCCCCACACTTCCAACCTTGATCTGATTTTTTCAAGGTTTGAATTTTCGGGGTCTTACACCAAGTATACTAGTGGTGTACAAGAAGTGGACCTACACCAACACATATTTCTGGTACTCCAAAAATCTATTTAAAAAAACAAAAAATCAGTTGTAATCTGTACAAGAGTCCTCAAGACTCTACTGGGATGAAAATCAGTTCTACCTGGGAAAACTGAAAAGTGTCTGCTTCTCATTTATTCTTAAGGGACTCTTCATCTGGGTTTTCACGCTGAATACTATTGATATTGACATATTGTAGGGTGTATTCTCTTAAAAAGAAAATTTTATAAAGAGTTTGTTATATCTGATTCTATCCAAAAAATTGAGTCTGATTATTTCTTTTCAGGTTTTGGCTGATAACCTTATTGAGAATCTCCCGGTGAACCTGGGATTGCTTAAGTCTTTGAAAGTTGCAACACTTGATGGGAATCGAATCAGAGCATTGCCTGATGAATGTAATTTCCCACCGTCCTAGATCATATGTGAAGTTAAGCAGGATTCTCTCTGCTATAGAGTATCACACTCTCTATTCTAACAACATAATGTTCTCATATTCAGTGGGCCAGTTGGTGAAGCTTGAGCGTTTGTCTGTCTCAGCAAACTTGTTAATGAGCTTGCCTGAGACTATTGGGAGATTGCAGAATGTGAGTGATCCATTCTGATGGCTAATACGGTGCCATCTTCCGCAATTCTAAAAAGTGTGCCAGTTAATATATTATTTCTTAGCTTGCTTTACTGCTTTGTTATTTTTTTTTTCCGAGTATAAAGGTGCTAAGGTGTCTAATGAAATGGTGTCAATCTTGTAGAAAATGTTCAGCATATTGATATCCATATTAATGGATCATTTTGCTTACAACTTTCTGTTCTTACAACTAAAAGCCCTACTTTTTTTTCTCTATTTCTATAGTGATGCCGCTTCTTCATGAATTTCTATTATCTTCCTGGTAGTTGATGATGTCTCTTTGCTCTCTTATGTTAGTATTTTGGATTTGGAATAGGGTCCTGCAGCTCCTGGGGGAGGGTGGTTGAATTTGGAGAATAAGTGGCTCTATTGCAGGTTGTCTTGAGGTCCACCACCCTGAGTGCCGTCTGTTCTTCCTTTTTATTTCACTCTCTCCTTATATTGAATATTTTTCTTCTCAAGTTTTTTTCTTCAATGTCATTGATGAACCAAGTGTGAGAAAGAAAGACTCGGAAAATACTTTCAATATACGTAAACTACATTATTACACAAAGCATTGTTTATAGACAATACACTACAATCCTTTTCCATGTATGGCACCATGTACAATCCTATTTGAGCACTCCCCCTCAAGCTGGTTCATGTAAGTCATATGTACCAAGCTTGGTACCTCCACTTGGATATATTGTGTCACTTCATTTATCACTTGGGTAAATAAAAAATGGGCTAAGAATCGATCCATGGTGTAACCCCATCTCTACTAGGAAGTGTTCTAAGTCTCCTCCCATTGTTCTCACTGGGTTTTGACTCCATCGTACATGTTATTAATCCCTCTAATGTATGCCACATGTACACCTCTGGGCTCCAAGCATCTCTATAAAATCTTCCTAGGGACTGTCATATGCCTTTTTTAAGTCAATGAACATCATTTGTAGGTTTCTCTTCCTATTTCTATACTCATCCAACAATCTCATTATAAAATGAATGACTTCCATAGTTGATCGCCCTGACATGAATCTGAATTGGTTCTCCAAAATAGACATATCCCTCTTCCTTCTCATCGTCATCTCTACCACCCTCTCCCAATCCTTCATAGTGTGATTTAGTTGTTTAATACCACTCTATAGTTGTTGTAATTTTGAATATCATCCTTTTTCTTGTACAGCGGGATCATTGTCCTCCACCTCCATTCTTTGGGCAGTTAATTCATCCTAAAATGATATTAAACAGCCTAGTTAGCCATTCAATGCCTACTTCCCCTGCGCTCTTCCAAAAATCCATAGGCATCTCATCTAGTCTGTTCGCTCTTCCTGTTTTCATTTTACGAATTACCCCCTTGACCTCCTCAAACTTTTTACACCTACAATACCCAAAATCACGATGTCTCTTGGAGTGTTATAAATCACTCAACACAATAGTTCTAATTCATGCTCCCCTCTGCATTCAAGAGTACAAGTTCCATTTGACTGTTTTTTTCTAAATTTTAATTCTCTGCGCATTGACAAACAAAGACTCAGAAAATATTATTAAGATACGTAAATATCACACTGAGGTCTACTTATAGATAATACACTACAATCCTTTTCCATGTAGGACACCATGTACAACCTATTGTAACACCAAGAAGTATAGTGTTCACTTTTAGGTGTATATCTGATTCTCATGGTTGCTGACATGGGATTATGAATTAAAGTTTTTCAATCAAGTTAACTAGCTCTATCCTCTAGTAGTGTTCATATCATTCTAAACACTTGCATATACTTTTACTCCAAATATGTTTTGATATTTGTGAGTTCAGTTCAATATGATGATGCCGTTTTTTGTCTGTCAGAGATAGTCGTTCAGCCTATACTTAAAAGTATTCTTAATTCATCTTCTTTGGAAAATGAGGCCTTTGGAATTGACAGTAATGGTTTTTCACTGCAGTTGGTGCTGTTGGACATTTCAAACAATAAGTTAAAGTTTTTTCCTGAATCAATTGGAAGTTGCTTCTCTTTGGAAGAATTGCAAGCAAATGGTACCTTCAAATTTTAGTGTCACTCATCCATTCTTGCTATTTCTCTATTTCCTTTTATTTTCCTGGCACTGGAACTCTGTATCAAATATCCATCGAGGAAAAAAAAACATGTTACCATCAACATAAAATTAAGTGAAATTTATGGCCGATGATAAAATTGGAGTGTTGGGTGACCTAGAAAGCTAAAGGAAAATCTACAAATTTTCTCTGTTAAGCTTATAAGATAATATTCTTGGCACCATCCATTTGAACTGGTACATGATTTTCACGTTCTGTTTCTTATTCCTCAGTGTGGCATAATGAGGTTTACTGTGTTTTTTTGGCAATCTTGCCTCGTGATAACAATATTTCCTTTCAGATAATTCCATTGAAGAGCTTCCTGCATCAGTTTGCAATCTTGTTCAACTAAAATCACTCTGCCTGAACAATAACAATCTCAATCAGGTTAGTGTCTAATTTTACCTGTGTGTATGTGTGTGTGACCCTTGTTATTTTGAGGTCATATCTAGTATTCAGAGTTTACCTCGATTTGGTACTGCTCTCGTGGCCTGCACTGATACAGTGCTTTACCTCTACATGTGCAGTCAACTGCTGTGCATGTGTGTGTGTGTCTGTCTCTATCATCGTCACACATAAAAAGTGCAAAGAATAGTAAACCACGTGGATCAAAAGCTTACCTGTTTGTCACACCGAAAAGCTGAACTTATTGTTGTATTGGTGATACTTGTATGTGCTCTCTCTCTCACTTTCTATCTTAATAATACTATTAAGCAGAGTTAGGAACTCTCTTCGCATGATCTGTAAGCCTAGTTCACTTCCCCGTGTATGAGTGTTAAAAGGAAACTCATACATTAACCTTAAAACGTGCATCTAAAAGCTTTTCCTTTTAATAAGACCTCATGAAGAAACGAAGATAATCAAACAACCAGTAGCATCTACATTGCAAACCGGCAATAAAGCCAAATACGCATAATGATCCACATTTGAGGTCATTGGATTGAACCTCACGTATCTTCCATTTAAAGCATCATCATCCAAGTTTTTGTACTTGTGCCTATCAAGTATATGTTTTTACTAGATAGTCATGCTTCCTTTTGGTAACTGGATTGTTCAGATGCCTCTAAATTTGTTAAGAGAATGCAAGAGCTTGCAGACCATATCCCTGCATGGAAATCCGATTTCCATGGACCAATTTCAACAGGTTACTCACTAATATTCTACTATTTAGTTCTGCAAGTACTAAAAAAATCATTTATGAAGAATTCTATTTGCCTTTTCTTTTTCCAGATGGATGGCTTCAAGGACTTTGAAGCCCGCCGTAAACAGAAGTTTGATAAACAAATTGATTCAAATGTGATAATCAGTTCTAAAGGGCTTGATGAGGGTGTTGACTTGTGATTCCTCTCCGCAGGCGTTTTCTATAAGGCTCCGCGCAATCTTGTTAATCTCAGGTTTACTATTTTTTTGCTTCAATTCCCTGATGGAAAATTTCCCTTTATTTTATGTATGACCATGTAGTAGCCACACTACACAGTTGTGCTCCTTCAGTTGCTGTCAAGCTTTTAGTATTTCTAGTGTCTGTAATGCCTAATTTGGACAATTCATTCTTGTTTACTTCATGCATGTCTCCGTTGCTCTTAGCTCCCAGCCTGGCGTGCCTGCATAGTTGCCTCTTCTCATTTATGTTCCAGTCTTCTAGTTTGTATTACTCTCCATTATACCCGTGCCCCTAAGTGTATATAATTGTGGTAATTATTAGTAACACCAATTTCAAAAGATTGAACACGAAAAAGCTTCTCATTTATGTTCCATGGAAGCAGGACCGTTTTGTCCATTTAGTTTCTGAATTTGATAGGTAGTAGCTAATCCAGTGGCCAAATTAGTTCAAAAAGAAATTGCACTCGTTTTTCTAAACTTCCCAGTCAACTGGTGCTATTGATGATACAATTTTTTTTGAATAAATCATTATATCTTATTTACTGCAGGTTAAATTTGTTCAGGTTGGATGGAATTGCGACAGTTTTGACTTTGATGAAAGGTATTGCTTCTGCTTATTTGGCATGAGATATTTCACACCTTTCTATAGTTTGTCATTGATTGTAAGTTGTGACTTGTGCGTAATTGTATCTATGCTGACTTGCTGAGTATGTTTGTGATTGTAAATGACTCAACTCTAACAAATTCTGTACATTTAGCGAGCTGTATATCACTTTAAAATCAAACTAACGATTTTTGTACCTAAAGATATTTGATTTTAATATGTTTGGATTGTAACGATCCTTTCAACGTATCCAAGAGTAGGGCCTGGTGGCCAATAAAGTGGCTGAAAATTGTGGCCACTTTTTATCTCCGTTCGTCGTTTTAAAATTAATTGAAACTAAGGGCGTGTTTATGATATTTTCATGTTTGGTTGGTTAAATTTTTTGGAAAATATTTGCTCTAGTAAGTATTTCATACGCGAGCCATCATCTAAAATCAATTCATCGATATCAAGTCAGCAACACAAGCATTTATCTAGTGCTATATACTAGGAGTCAAGCTCACATAATCACATTAATCAATTCAGGAAGAAAATCTCCAATTTTTCATATTCATGGCATTGGTACTCAAAGCATTTCATATTCATGGCATTGGTACTCATAGAAATGCTTGTTATCTCTTTTATACCGGACCTCCATTATCCATTAACCTTTTATTCAATTAATAAATACACTTTAACATTTCATAAAAAGTTTCAACTTGCCTTAATTGGAATTCAAAAAGTTAATGTGGATACCTAGGCACCCAAAGACAATGAAGGGTGTAGTAATCGACAAAATGCTTTAGGGAGTTGAAAATAAGCATAGATTTGGAGATTCTCGAATAAGGTAACCTTTCAAAATGCTATTGAATCCACGGGTAGGCAAGATACAACTAACGATTTGCTCTTCTTTTATGCCTTTGAACTATTTCAATTTGGTCATAAATGTAATTTAGATGAGTATACAAGTTCGTAGACACACAAATTGGCACATAATTGGCTCGAAAATTGAGTGAAAAAGTCAACCTTGAGCCTTACTGTCAAATTTGAAAATTTGTTTACCCATAGGTGGGTCAAAAATCCGCTAAAATGGATTGTTAATCGGTCCCCAAATCGAAAGCTACATAAATCATTCTTTGGAGAATTAAAAACCAACCAAATTCCCCAATTCAAAAACCCCCAAATTAAATATCTATGAGCTTGTATAGCAAGGTGAGACCCTCCTCTTATTGGATTCTAATTACTTTAAGTCACAAATAGTATTTTAGGATGAAAATTCATATCTTTCGTCGGATTGTCATAGTACTTCTTGTTATTGATTGTTGAGTGAACTCATTGTTATAGTAATGTGGGGCTGTGGGAAAAAGTTATTGGATGGCAAAGAGTCAATGGAAAAAGGTATGATTAGGTTACTCTCTTCTTTTAGCATGTTTTCTTAAAAGGGTAAAGCTATATGTCAAGCGTACTTTGGATGAGCTACTCATAGCCATAAGTTTAGTGTGTTGGCTTCCTAGAGTTGTTATGTTCGTCCCTTGTTGGGACTCCTATTATAATGATAGCGACCTCGTGCTTAGATACAACTTAGAGATTACTCATATAGGTCGCTTATAGTTGGTTTGCTTGCCTTAGGGCCACTTGATTGATGTTGATGCCTTTGGGCCATATGTTGGTTGTTACTTCTTTCGGGGGGGGGGGGGGGGTTTTGTGT